GAAATTTATTCATTCCAAGAAAAGAATAGGAAAATATCGATAAAACCTTTAAAGAGATAAGAACACGGTCATCGCAACCAATATTCTAGGTTTGGGAGTCGATTACGCAAAAGGAAGGTATTAGCACCCTCTACGTCCGTTGTACTCAACAGGAACCTCTTGATTTGATTCGTGAGAGAAAGTTAACTACGCTTGTTTATCTTCTAAATGATTTGCTTGCTAAGGGGAAAAATGGGTGGTTTTTAAGATAGGGTGCTCGCCAAGGATTGGGGCCCTTGTGCCTATGTACTCACTTATGTAATGGGAAATTCAGAGCATCGTAGTTCAGGGGACTACGGGAAAATGAGGAAATTGTGGAATTGTGGGGAAATGTGCTCGCCAAGATCATCACAATCTTGTGCCTACGTATCCTTATTAGGGAGTAAGGAATCATAGCAGCCGTAGTTCGACCAACTGCTAAACGTAGGCTTGTCTGCTCGCTAAGAGAGGCTAAAGCACGAGTTTGTTATGCACGGAAGAGTGGAATAAACAATGTTCTTTGGTAAAGGGGTTGAGTTGAACGAGAGTTTATGTCGCATTCTAACTGTTAAACTTTGGCTTGTCTGCTCGCTAGGGGAGGCTGAAGCACTAGTTCATTCGCGGAAGAAGGGACTAAACAATGTTCTCTGGGAGAAGTTGTTTGAGTTATGGATCGCACGGGGGCGAGAAAAGAGAATTTGATTGGTTAAGTATTTGGTTTAGAAAAGATGACAGATTTGAATAGGTTTTAGGGCATTGGTCACACGGGGGCGAGAAAACGAGGTTTGATGTATCAGATGTTTAGCTAGAGGTGATGATTACCTGAAGCTTAAGACAAACTTCTCGGACCCAAGTAATTGGGAGAGTGAACCAAAGACTTGGAGCTCTCTCTTTTTCATCTACATGTTTAGGAAAATATAATTAGCGTGTTAAATCGGATGACGATTACTCGAAGCTTAAGAAAGACTTCTCGAACCCAAGTAATCGGAAGAGTGAACCAAAGACTTGGAGCTCTCTCTTTTTCATCCTTTTATTGAAAATGTATTTGAGTATAGTTATTAAGTATTTTAATTTTATTTGAAGAAAATGTTTGATGTGAATCAAGGTTTGAATTTGAGTTTTAAACGTATGCACTAGCAAAGTGGGCCAGTCTTCTAAATGACCAACTAGAGATAATTGATCAAATAGGTCTCACTGTAAGGAAGCCCAGGAGTAAGCTTTAAATGTTGTGTATGGTGATCAAAGGTTGATGGCGAGGCTTTGAAAGCACTCGACTTACAAGGATAGAAAATGGCTCGATAAATCGAGAATTTATTTAAAAAAAAAAGAGGATTTTAAAGCGTTAAAACATAATTAAGACAAAAAGCGATAAAATTATTACATTTTGTGGGAGTTGGGATACATTGTTATCGAATGGGGATAGAATATAACGAAACAGATAAATCGAACTTACCTGAATGAGTGCACGTTATGGCGCGGCAAAAATTTCCAATTAATGCGTAAGAACCCCTAGTGGCATAATGGACATAGAAATGTCGAAACCATGGATTGAAGTTCGATTAATTCAATGGAGATCAAACAATAACCAAAATTATTTGTCACACATGAAATGTAAATAGTGGATAGAAAAGTGTTAAAAAAACCTGACTTCTCAATTTCAAGTGACTCAAATGCTCAAGAATAAAAAAAAAAGTATTAGAACTTAAATTAGTATCTAAACTTTAGGACTTAAATTTGTTGTATATATATATATATACACGTGAAAAACAAACAAATCATTATCTAAAATTTGAACTAAAACTAAAATATATATATTTACTTTTAAGAAAAATTTAAGCAAACAGTATAAACTTTAAACTAAAATATAAGTATATATATTTACTTTTAAGAAAAATTTAACAAACAGTATTAACTTTAAACTAAAATTTAAGTATATATATTTACTTTTTGAAAATGAAACCAAGGGATTTGAAACAAAGCCTTTAGTATGTACATATTAACCGAAAAAAGTTTGCATTCAATTTATAGAAATAACATATTAACCGCAAAAAGTTTGAATTCAATCTACAGAAACAAAACACTACCAAAATGGTTCAAATCGAAATGATGCGAAACAACACGATGAAACCCTATTGTGGAGGCTGTTGGGTATGAGTGCTTCGAAACAGCGTCGGAGTTGGTGCAAAAAATTATCATCGGGGTCGTGTCAGAAGAGGGAGACGTGCAGGACCGCAAGCCATGGTCGAATGTTGTTGGCTTCGTCAGAATGTGCCTCTTATGTTGAAGAAACGTCTTAAATGGTGGAACCGTGTTATTTGCTCGATGATGGTTACTTTCAAGCTTGAGCGTAATCAACTTATCTCTTGAATCTACTTAAAAACCTGCAACAGTTAACAAAATAACCTCCATGAATTTGAGACCTCCAAAACAGAATCCATTTTTGCGTAGGCTTCAACATGAAATCAGCTGCGGTTGTTGTTGTTCTTCTTTTAGAGCATAGATGCTGCTTTCTTTTGCTGCTATTGCAAAGGCCGTGATTGCTTCAAGTTTGGGTTTGCGGTGAGTGGGTTTCGCGACGGCTGGGTGAAAAAGAAGAAGAGGTTTTGCAGATGCAAAATGGAGGGATGAAGCTTGCGGTGGTTTGGGGTGTTTTCGGAGGTTGGGAGAAAGGAAGATGAAGGGGTTTCGACTGGGTTTCGCGGTTTGGTTTTGGGATAGAGAAGAGGGAAACGACGGGTTGAGTGAGGAGAAATAGAGAGATTAAGGATGGTTTCACGGCGGGTTCTTCTGAAGAAGAAGAGGATTGGTTTCATGGTGGCCGGATTTTGATAGTGAAAGGGAAGAAGAAGAAGGGGAAAGGCTAGTGGCGGCGGTGACGAGTTGAAGAGGAGACGAGTTAGGGTTTTCGACGGCTGATTTGGGGATTTTCTTGGGAAGATGAACAATATCATTCCCCTTTTATATCAATTTTGCCAACCCTAATCCCAATTTTCCCAACCGTGTTTCTCTCTTCATTTTTTAATTTTTCTTTAATTAATTATGTTTCTATTTTCTAATTTAATTAATTCTAATTTTAATTAATTAACCAATCCTAATTCTAACTAAATAAATAATCCTAATTCTAACTAATTAACTAATCATAAATCTTCTAATTAATTGATTAACTAATTTTAATTCTACTTTCTAAATTAAAAATCTAACCTAATTTCTAATTAAAAACTAATCTTATTTCTAATTAAAAATCTAAAATCTAAATTCTGATTAAAATCTAAATTAAAAAAATCTAATCTAATTAATTAATATTCTAATATAATTCCTAATTAAATTCTAAATCTAAGCTAATTAATTAACTAATATTAAAATTATATTATATTAACATTATCTAAAAATAAAATGTTAAAACAAAAATAATAATAAATAAAAAGATGCCACGTGATAAACTCTTATTGGGCTAAAAATAAAAAGAAATTTAAAAAATTCACCATTTGTCAAATGAATTCGCTAAATAACAAAAATCGAGCGACAAAGGTGCTTGAAAAATTAATTTATTTTTGTTAAAAAATGTTACATTGTACAAGCGATTCGAATTGAAAAATAAAGTCGGGTGAATGAAAATTTTGAAAAAGGTAGGACAAATTTGGGGTCCTTGAAACATATTGTGAGGTATTGGATCATGCTTTTCTCCATAAGTCATCCTAGAGATTGAATTAGGTCAAAATCCTAATTTGGTGACACAGATGATCTTGAGGCTTGACCAACTTGAAATGATGTAATCTTGTGCTTGATTCTTGGTGAATGAGATCTCTTTATCTCCAAGGATGATTGATGGGCTTGATAAGTTGAAGATCATGCCAATTCTTGATTGATCATTTGTCTGAATCCTCTGTAGGGCTTAAAACCCTAATTGATGATCATAATGAAGCAAACAACAATCTTAACTTTCTAAAATGAGTTAGTGATGCATAAAAGTGTATGTATGAGATGCAAATGATGTGGGTATCTTAGGGTCAACAGTTAGAGTATGACAAATAGGGTTTTTTTTATCATCTCTAGTCTTATAGAATTTTTTTAATACTTCTCCCCCTCCCCCAAATTATAAGTCATATTGCCAAAAATATTTATTTCAAATTATAAGTCACTTTATATTACACATGTAATATTAACGACATTTTTTCCAATATATCTTTTATCATTTATTCCTATTTCTTTTTTCAATTTTTTAAATTTCTCTTTCATATATAGTAAATGAAAGATAATATTGTAAAATCATACACAATTTCTCTTTTTTATACAACAATAATTATATTTCTTAATTAGTGTGAAATTGTCAATAAAATTTAAAACAAAGAATATTATTTATCATCTCAATTCACCTATTTCTTTTCTAAAAAAAATACTTAAAAACTAATATGGACAAAACTATAATTAATATCATTGCATTGCATACATTATTAAAAATGACACAAGAATACATTTTTGTAGCTGGTATTTAGCACAATTCATTTTTTCTGTGTTTAGAAAAGAGCATAAACCGTGTATACATTAAATGCCCTTCCTTAAAATAATTATCCTATACTATATATATATATATATATATATATATATATATATATATATATATATATATATATATATATATATATATATATATATATATATATATATATATATATATATATATATATATATATATATATATATATATATATATATATATATATATATATATATATATATATATATATATATATATATATATATATATATATATATATATATATATATATATATATATATATATATATATATATATATATATATATATATATATATATATATATATATATATATATATATATATATATATATATATATATATATATATATATATATATATCAAATTAATCCATTAGTTTGATCTCTTCAAATATGATTCTTCCAAACCATATTCAATAAAATTGAAATTCTCACTTTGCATCACTATGGAAGAAAGCAATAGTGATGCACAAATCCAACCTACCAAAACCAAAAAAGGAGGATGGCATGCTGCCATCTTCATCATAAGTGAGTAACTTTAGTTTTATTATATTTATTTTATTTCTGAGATAATTATTTGAATTTTGATTTTAATCTTATGTTATTTATTTTATCTCTTAATTTAGATTTTATATATTTTTGAGGTGAATTTTGAATTATCGCCTCCATTACTTTTAAAATGAATTTGTATAAAATTTTAAATGTTGCAAGTTGATATGAATTTGAATCTTGACTGAAATAATTTTTTTCATTTTACATTTTTTTTATATACTTTGAATTTTCAGATTGATCTGTTAAAAAACCGGACTATTGTGATTAATAAAAATTAAATTTGTAAAATTCATTCGGACTTTTATATGTAAATTTTTTTTTGATTAATTTTTTTTTTTTTTTATAAATTTGTTTATGTTGTTGTAATTGAGCATTATGCAATTTTTATTTTGTAGTTATGGAAGCTGCAGAGCAATTTGCAAACATTGGATTAGGTTCAAATTTGATTTTATATCTCAATAAAGCACTTAATGAGCCATTAACTGAAGCTGCTAAGAACAGAAACACTTGGGTTGGTGTTTCTTCTATCTTTCCTTTGCTTGGTGGATTCATTGCTGATTCATATCTTGGTAGATTCAAGACAATTATCATTGCATCTCTCATCTATCTCATGGTAATTTTATATTTTTTCCATTCCTCTATTTTTTTTATAAAGAAAAAATCATTCTCCTATTATTTGGTATTTATATTTTTGTTTGTTTCTTTAGAATTTTTATTTTTACCTTTTAAATTAAAGTTTTATATTTAATTTTTTTAATGAATCCAATTTAATAATTAATTCAAGTAAGGATGTATCTGATCTTTGGTGAGATAAAAAATCCCATTTTTTATTTAAAGTTTCCCAAGTAAACATTAATAAAACAATGTATGTTGACTTAGTTGATAAGATTTGAATATCATCACTAAGATTAAAATTTTATTGATAGATAATATATAAATATATCTGTAAATACTCTTTCAATTTTATATTTTTTATTTAGATGATTGTCTTAAAACATCATTTTGTATTTGAGTAGAATTACTTTCTCTTTTATATTTATATATATTTTGTCTTTTAAAAACACACATCTAAATTTTTAATAAAGCTAATAGTTTTTTAATATAAAAAGAAAAATATATTATTAGTATTGATTACACTAATAATTATTTTATACTTATCTAATTTTTTTTTTTGTATAAAATTAAATAACTTTTGTAACAATTATAGACTAATATTTTTTTTGAAAGGAATATAAGACTAATCTTATATTTCTATAGTTAAATATAAATCCAAAAACTTTAGTAAATCGTGAAGAGTTATCGTCCAAATAATTTTTAGTGTCTCTCATAAAATAATTGTGAAAACTTGAAGAATAAAAATAAAAATTATGAATTTTAATGGAAGACATTCATTTATTGTTATTAATGGATATTTTTTATAATTCAAGAAAAGTTTTTCCATATTACCATATTTTGGATATATGCATGAATTAAGAAAGTCAATTAGAAAACGTTTTCAAAAATCTTAAAATGACAAAAGAATATAAAGGAAAAATAAATGAGGACATAAAAATAGACAAAAGACAAATCAAAAGCATCTTTCTTTATATATATATATATATATATATATATATATATATATATATATATATATATATATATATATATATATATATATATATATATATATATATATATATATATATATATATATATATATATATATATATATATATATATATATATATATATATATATATATATATATATATATATATATATATATATATATATATATATATATATATATATATATATATATATATATATATATATATATATGAATCAAAATGATCTTTAAAAAAAACAAAATATATTTTTACTCTTCAGCATGATGGAATACTCGTCTGTCGACGTCTTTAATTGATAATGTAAAAATATTTTATTGTCTTCTAATTAACATTATATATGCAGGGTATGATTTTGTTGACACTATCAGTCTCTATTATAAAAAACAAGAAGCTGTTTTTTACCGCGCTTTATATATTATCGGTCGGCGATGGAGGACACAAGCCATGCGTACAAACATTCGCTGCCGACCAATTTGCAGAAGACACATTAGAAGAGAGAGATGCCAAAAGATCATTCTTCAATTGGTGGTACCTCGCAATTGTAATTGGTTCAGTTTTCGCCGTGTTCGTGATAGGATATCTGATGGTAAATTTTATATTAATTATTCAATGAATTTAAAAAAGTTTATATTAATGGGAAAAATTAACTAGCAAATTGTAACACATTCATATATTAAAAGTGCAGGATAATGTAAGTTGGGGTATTGGACTTTTAGTGTTGGCATCAATGTTGGCAATAGCATTGGTGGTGTTCTTGCTAGGAACAAAAAGGTATACAAAGGAAAGCCCGAAAGGGAGTCCGATCACTAGTATTGTTCGAGTTTTTGTTGCTGCAGCACGTAAGTGGCGCGTCAGAGACACGCGCGGCCCAGATAGTTATTGGTATGGTCATGATCATGATAGCTTCCATCATTCCCGATCAACACCAATAATTCGAACTTTGGCTCACACTAAACAATACAGGTAATATTAGTGTGTACGAGTCTCAGTAGTAATTATCACTTCGTCTATAGAAAAATAATATTAGTTGTTTTATTTTGTATTACTCTAAACAAAAATATTACTATAGGTTTTTGGATAAAGCAATGATCATTGATGAACATGATGCATCTAGAAAAATTGTAAATCCATGGAGACTATGTTCAATGACGCAAGTCGAAGAAGTGAAGCTTGTGATTCGTCTGATTCCTATATGGCTAAGTTGCTTAATGTTCACTGTTGTTCAAAGTCAGTTAGGAACGTTTTTCACGAAACAAAGTAGCACATTAGACAGATCAATTGGACAGCATTTTGTGATTCCTTCAGCAGCACTTCAAGGCTTTGTTGGAATTGTGATCTTGTTTGCAGTGCCCCTCTATGACAAAGTTTTTGTGCCGTTTGCGAGAAAAATTACAGGACATCATTCTGGTATAACCGTTTTGCAGAGGATTGGAGTTGGTCTTTTTTTGTCGATATTTACGATGATTGTTTCGGCTCTTGTGGAAACTAAAAGGGTTGGTGTGGCCAAGAATCATAATCTCTTAGACAATAATCATAGCAAGGAGATTATTATACCTATGAGTATTTGGTGGATGTTACCTCAATATACTATTCTTGGAGTTTCTGATGCATTTACAATTGTTGGATTACAAGAGTTGTTCTATGATCAAATGCCTGATGCAATGAGAAGTTTAGGAGCTGCAGCATATCTAAGCATTGTTGGAGTTGGAAGTTTTGTTAGCAATGGTATTATAAGTGTTGTGGTGGATGTTACTTCAAAGGTTGGTGGAAAATGGTTGGGAAGTGATTTGAATAGGGCACATCTTAATTACTTTTATTGGGTGTTGGCTATGTTAAGTGCTCTTAATCTTTGTGTTTATATGTGGATAGCCAAAGGTTTTGTGTACAAAAAGAGACATGTGGTTGAAACAAGTGCAATGGAGTATAACTCCTAGAAGATGATGTTTTGTATTTGTAGTGAAATATGTTGTTTCTAGTGAAATAAAATATAATTACTCTACAAATTGAAACAATTATTTTTATTTATTTTATATAAGGAATATGTAATTTTAATGGTTATGAAAGATAGTAAGAACTAATAGTTTTTATAATTTGTTGTGATATTTTGAATGAATTTGTGTAAGGTAGAAATGCTATGAAAGTTTTGATATATAAGTTGAATTTAGTTATATTAATTACTTTTGAAGTTTCTAATGAGAAATTATACATTTTTCTGTAGCTACAATGAAGAGATAATGTAGAGTTGTCGTCTTTATGCAAGTAATACGAGAATTTTAACATGAAGAATAAGAAGGTGTTTGATTATATCTCCAGAGTGATTATGGTCATGAATGAGATGAAGTCTTGTGGAGAAACATTCTCTAAACAAGTAATCATTGAAAAAGTATTAAGATTACTTACTCTTCAGATTGATTCCATAAGAACACTCGAAAGACACCAGTATCATGAGAATTGAAGAGTGGCATAGTAGTTTAGAGGCACAAGAATTGTGTCTGACTGGAAAAAAACTCTGAAAGAGAAACAAAACAGGTTCTGAGAGATTTTTTTGTTGAGAAGAACAAGAATCAAGCATGTCTAGAGAACAAGAAAAAGAATGGTGTTGGTGCTTAGAAGTCAGAACTCTCTAATCAAGATGTGAAAAAACATAAGAATGTTCAGAAGGGAAATGAGAAGTTTGATAAAAGAAAGGTTCAGTGCTACAACTCTAACAAGTTTTGCCATTTTGCTGCTGATTGCTGGTAAAAAACGGAAAGCAATGGTGGAAAAGCCAACATAGCCAGAGGAAATTATGAGAATGAACTTGTGAAATTGATGGCATCTGAGAATGAAGGTGAAAAATGGTGGTATATAATCAGCGGCTGCTCAAATTACCCAATTGGAAATAAGCAATGGCTGATTGATTTTGACTCTGATAGAAAGACAAAAATCAGGTGTGCTGATGATGAATATTTGAATGCTATAGGAATGGAAACTGTTAAAGTAAAATTGAAGAATGGTAAAACTGTATTGATCAAGAATGTATTGTATGCTCCTGGCATGAATAGCAATTTGATGAGTGTATGCCACCTGCTTGAAAAAGGCTTTTCAGTAACAATGTAGGACAATCTCTTGAAAATCTATGACCATGACTAGAAGTTAATTATGTAGTCTACATTGGGAAGAAATAATGCATTCAAGCTGAATGTTGAAACATCAGACACTCAATGCCTTAGTGCAACTAGTGTTGTAAGGGAAAGTGAGTTGTGGCATAAGAGATTGGAACATCCAAACATTAGACATTTAAGGCATCTGAGTTCAAAGAATCTGGTACGTGAAATTCCAATGATTGTGGAACCATAGGAATCATGTGATATATGCATGAGAGGTAAGCAACCAATATTGCCATTCTCATTAGAAATGCCTCCAAGTGAAACTCATGCTTTGGATGCGGTGCATTATAATGTATGCCGACACTTTGAGGTACCTTCACTTGAAGGAAATAAGTAATTTTTGTCATTTGTAGATGAGTTCACAAGAATGACATGGGTAGCACTCATAAAATTCAAACATGAGGTGTTTGTTGAGTTCAAGAAATTCAAAGTGAAGACTAAATATCAAAGTGGACAAAGGTTAAAGATCCTCAAAACCCATGGTGGAGTTGAGTTCAATTAAACAGAGTTAAAGAAGTTTCGTGAGGAGCATGGAATTAAGTATGAAGTGACTGCTCCATACACCCAACAACATAATGGTCTTGCTGAAAGAAGAAATAGAACCCTGGTTGACATGACAAGGAGCTTGTTAAAAGAGAAGAATCTACCTCACTCATTGTAGGGCGAAGAAATTTCCACATCAGCATATGCGCTCATTAAATTTCTAACAAAAAATTTAAAGAATTAATTCCTCTAGAGAGGTGGAGTGGAAGAAATAAAGTGTGAGTCATTTCAAGGTATTTGGTTATGTATGTTACAAACTTGCACCATATACTACTAGAAGGAAATTGGATGACAACAGTTAAGTCATGTTGCTTAGAGGTTACCACTGTATAGGTGCTTATAAGCTCTATTTCTCAGTCACCAACAGAATCACTGACAACAGAGATGTCATAGTGAAAGAAACATAAACATTGGATTAAAACAAGTCTCAATCCAACTCTAATGCAGTGTCAACACTAGAGTCTAATCTTGACTCTGAAAGAAATTTTGCCTCTAAAGGTGAGTCCGACTCTGAATGTGAGTATGCCTTTGAGGGTAACTCTAACTCTGAAGGTGTATCTGACTCTATAGGCGACTCTGGTTATGAAGGTGAGTCTGATATGAAGGTGATATAGCCTTCAAAGGTGGACCTTCTGAAGGTGGCCCTGCCTCTAATGATGGAATTGCCTCTAAAGGTGAACTTGTGCAGTTTCAGAGGTCACAGAGAATTAGACACATACCAAGGATACTTTCAGACTTAGAGTTGCTCAACAATAATGAGATTGACAATGAAGGGGAATTCATAAAGTGTGCCATGATGTATAAATCTAAAATTTTCAGCATCAATGAGGCACTCAAGAAGAAATGTTGATGAAGGTCGTGAAGGAAGAACTTGGGAAAATTATAAGAAACAAGACATAGGAATTGACTATTCTACCTAAGAACAAGAAAACCATCAGTGTGAGATGGGGTTTTAAGTTAAAGCTAAAGCTAGATGGTTCATTTACAAGCATAAAGCAAGGTTAATAGCTAGAGAATTCCTGCAAAAGTCTGATTTAGACTACTTTAAAGTGTTTGCACCTGTAGCTAAACATGAAGCCATAAGATTGTTTATTGCTATAGCTGCAAATAGGATTTGGTCTCTGATAGATTTAGATGTAAAATTAGTTTTTTTTAAATGTTCCATTTCAAGAAGAAGGTTATGTGTTACAACGTCCTAGATTTGTGATAAAGAATAAAGAAAGGATGGTGTACAAGTTATATAAAGCCTTGTATGGGCTTAAATAAGCTCTAAGGGCTTGGAATGTGGAAATGGGTTCATTTTCAAGTATCAGGGATTCAAAAAATGTGAAATGGAGTATGGCGTGTATGTGCATCATACCTCTAATGACAATGTGATCTTGGTGTGTCTTTATGTGGATGAAATAATATTGACAGGGGGGAGATAAAATAATTCATGGTCATGCTTCGAATCCCAACAACTACAATTTTTTTTATTTCTTTAAAAGTGGCGTGTTTTTTTATTTTAATTTTTGTTAAATTTTTAAATAATCTATTCCATCGATTTCACTAATAATCGAGGGGTATGATACCCAAATTTGTCTATGAAATGATTTGTTCACTAAATTTTACCCTAAACATAACTCATATATACAACTGCTCCATACTCGTAAACACCATTCTTTTGGATTGATTGCAAGACAAAATAAAATTCTTTTGTTTTATGTTGTTGTTCTTCTAACACCAACCTTTAACAAATTATTTTTCCATTTTTTTAATCTATCAAACATAATGATGTTATTATTATATTGTTGTTGTTATTATTATTGTTGTTGTTGTTGTTGTTGTTGTTGTTGTTGTTGTTGTTGTTGTTGTTGTTGTTGTTGTTGTTGTTGTTGTTGTTGTTGTTGTTGTTGTTGTTGTTGTTGTTGTTGTTGTTGTTGTTGTTGTTGTTATTGTTTCCACCTCTTACCAATGTTGAACGGTAAAAGAAAACATTGTTATATTTTGGAATAACTTTGCAATGTTGTCAGTAAAAGAAAACATTTTATAATATATTGCTTTCTTTGGTTGATAATTTTGAAAATTATATTCCTAATCATACTGCAATTTTGTTGTTTCACAAAATAATATCTTGAAGTTTTTTTAGAATATAATTGTTTGTTTGATTATTGCAACACAAATAAAAATTGGGAATGGTAAAGAATAGAAAAAGAAAACAATGTATGCTACTTTCACCATTTTATCCATTCACCAATTTTTTGCAATAGAAGTAATCTACTACTTCGGGGAATTAAAACACCTAGGGGAAAATTTATTTTTTTAATTTATTTTTTATTTAACAAAGAAAAAACCTTTTACCTTGATTTTTTTTTGTCCAAATCGAAGGGTAAATAAGAGAGCTTATTCATTTTATTTGTCGTCCATAAGTAAATATTTGATTTCCATTTATTGAGTATTCACGCTCAAGACACTACCAACACATTAATTCACAAGAAATATTAGTGATCTATGTGAAATTGTAATGACAATCATTCAAAAAGCTATATACTATATATCTGAATCACAAAATTGATAATAAAAAAAGTGAAACTTAAAGGAAAATAAAAACAGTCTTTGTGATGGATTGCATAAGCAAAAAATAGTATTCGTTGAAGGTTTTTGTTATTTACATGTTCTCTTGTCTTTATGCATGATAAATTAGTTTCCTTATTTAACATTTGTTAATGTTATATATCATTATTAGGAAGATCCTAAAGTCACACATTGGTTGGAGATAGAGCATTGAAATAGTTTATATAGAGTGACACTCCTCACCTTACTAACCGATTTTGTAAGGTTGTGTTAGACCAAACTCTAATTTTATTATGGTAAAGTCCCACATTGATTGTAGATAGAGCATTGAAATAATTATATCGAGTGACACCTCTCACATTGATTGTAGATAGAGCATTGAAATAATTTATATAGAGTGACACCCATTACCTTACAAATTGAATGAGAAGCCACAACATTTTAGGATTCTTCCTTAAATTTGTAATTGTAGGTTTAAACAAAAATAATATAAAATTATAAAAGTTTGTATATATATAAAAGTTTATCTCCAATCAATGTGGGGTGTCACTCTATATAAATGAGGGGTGTCACTCTATATAAATTATTTCAATGCTTTATCTCCAATCAATGTGGGGTGTCACTATATATATAAAGTCCCACATTGATTGGAGATAAAGCATTGAAATAATTTATATAGAGTGACACCC